GTGGTGTGTTTCCAATGCTAAGGTGGAATTTTATATGGTACATGGAATGTAGGTACAAGTTGGAGTAAAGTGGGGAAGGTAAAGTAAAATTCCAGAAAATAAAGATGGGTGTGACAGATGTCAGTGCAGTACAAAAGCATGTGAAATAAAACCAGTGTCACACACCAAAGGTGTTTGGTGAGGTGGACATGGATACAGCTGATAAATGGAGATGAAGACTGTAGCCCTCATGCAAAGAAGGACAGCCAGAAATGTCAGCAGTCATCCCTTGCACAAGAATGAGTCATCAGTGCCAAAGAAAAAGAAAGGGAGCAAGTTAAGTGCTGGTTAAAATTCTTAAGCTCCCATGTACAGCATTCCAGTTTTCAACATATCTCTGCTGTTTCTGCAGATACTGAGACCATTCCCACACTTGCTTGTAGTGCTCAGCCATGCGATCCTACCTTCCAAAATTGGAAAGGATTTGCACACTCCACACATTTCTACAGCACTCCCTCCAAAAGATGTTCATTTCATCAATTCTTCTGATATGGCTGCCTCCACATCAATCATTTTGCTTGTCCCCTTTGCTAGGGACTGTGGCTACATATATCTACCAGGAGTTCCTACCAGCTTCCATCTTGAAGCATCCTGGTACATCCCACCCTCGTCAGTGCCCTCTCAGCCCATCCAGCTTGGACAGCATGTTCTTTTTGTCAGTATGACCTCTAGGAGGATGTTCTTTGGTTGCCTCAGGTCTGTCATTTGCTTGGAAAGGTCTTATGTGGTTGTTTCAGTGTCTCCAGTCCAAGAAGCATATGGATCCTTCCTCCCTGCTCCCTGCAATGTCTTCATACCAGTCTCATCCATCATTCTTCCAAGATTGCAACAGCTACAGTATAATCTACTGTTCTCCACCCTCCCTGATTGCATCCAGGATGAGTATGAAGCACATCTTGCCTCCTTATTGCAAGATACAGCAGCAGACACTCTGCCTTCATCCTCTCTTCCAACAGAGCCTCATTCATGAAGTTTTTATTTGCTTCACTGAGAGGATGGTTTTGGGGGGAAAGTTGCAATCCCCTATGCTCCTGTCACCCCACAGACCCCCAAAGCTTGACCCCTGTTGACATCTGACTCACCCTGTCCACTTTTGGATGTACTATATTGGCATCAGATCAGTGCTGCCTCTCTGTCATCCCACCTTGGCCTAGAAGTGATCTCTTTGAGATGTGACATGAACAGCCTCCCCCTAATGCAATTCCAGTGTGCTTTCCCAGTTCCTGACATTACTTGACTCATACTTTGATGTTTTGACTGTCTTTGACTCACCTATTGCCAATACTTACCAATCATTTGACTTTGCTTGCTGATCCTTTGCCTTTTGGCTTGCTAATCCTTACCAATGCTTACCAATGCTTCCCAAGATGATTACCAATCACTTACCAAGTGTTTGCACCTTGTTTTCCATGGGCAACACCCCTGTACTGTATATAAATCACTGTACTTAGATAGCAAAAAAAAAAGAGAAGACATCAGAGAGCCCCTCTTGCTTGCATTTTATCATCACTCAGTAATTCATTCAGCAGCTTCAATAGTTGAGACTTTATTAAGGGTCTAACTATTGTCTACTTTGCTTATCCTTGTCTATCATCAATATACTTTGCTCCAAGCCCTCCCTGAGCTCAGTGCAGCTTAGGACATCACATTAAGTTGCCATCCATCCTTCTGTAGGCTGACAGCAGTCTACCCTATCACTTTCTATCACATTCTTGCTCCCTCTTCATCAGGAGCACCCCCATCCCTCAGCACTTGTCTTTGAGTGTTGTAGCTCACAAAAACCCACCCAAATCAAAGGTTCTGCCATCTAGGTACTGCATAGGCTCACCACCACTCACTCTTTTTGTCTTTTGTGTTGGTTTTGGTTGGTTTTCATCACTGAACCACACTTTGACTCACACCAGTTGCAAATGCTGCAAATGAAAAGTAGCAGGGGAAAAGATGGGTATCTTCCAACAAGACATGGGTATGTGAAAGAAATGGTAGACAAGGGTTGAGGGGAGAGCAGACACACTGAGGGGGAGGGTCTATGAGTGTGGAGAAAGGCTGTGCAGAATTTTGGGGTGACAGGGGTAATTGGAGTTTTTATTGGTATCTGGTGAGATTGACTGGGGATGTGGCAGGACAATGAGTGGTGGCAAGGGGGTACAGAAACCAGAGTGATGTTCTGATGGGTCTGGACAGCATGGTGACAACCAGGGGAAATTCTGAAACCAACTCGGGGTAGGGGAAGACATGTGGGGATGGGTGTAGGGAATTCCAAAGGCAATGAACTGGGTAATGCTGATAGGGGCTTGCCAGAAGGCAGTGGAATTGTTTGATGGTGCCCAGCTTCTGCTTCAGGGAGTATACAGCTCCCTACAGCAGGCCTGTCATTTCTGTGGCAGATTCTGTCACAACCCATGGATGGGCCCATCCAGGAAATGTTGAACCCATCAAAATTGATGGACAGGCCTGTCAAAAGGATGTTGCATCTGTCACAACTTACAGGTGGGCCCACCATGTATATGGCAGAGGAGATCACAACCAATGGACAAGCCTGTTGAAGAAATGTTGAAACCATCAAAACTAATAGGCAGGCCCATCCAATATATGGCAGGTGCTGTTATAAGCCATGGACAGGCCCATCAAAGGAATATCCAATCCATCACCATGTGTGGGCAGGCCCATCATGTATGCAGTGAATACTGTCACAACCCATGGATGGGCCTGCCTGGGAAATGTTGAACCAGTCAAAACTGATGGGCAGGCCTGTCCGATATATAGTGAGTGTTGTCACAACCAATGGTCAGGCCCATCTAGGGAATGTTGCACCCAATGAAGCTGATATGTATACCCATAGTGTATATTGTGGATAGTGTCAAAACACATGGAGGCTCAGCAGGAACATCCCAAAAGATGGTATGCAATACTGTTGGACCACATATATTGCTGAGCATGTCTGCCATATGTTAGATAATGGCCACTTGATTGATGGGCCCATCATTCATCTCAGACATCATGTCAAAGGACCCCACAGATGGGAGTGGGGATGGCAAGTAAAGACAATGTATCCAGCCCATCCCCATATCATTGTGACATTTTTGCAGTACTGATTGTGAACCTCTGAGTGACAATTTGGTCAAACGCCTCACCTGCAAAAAAGAAGGCATGGTGGCTGGCAGGCAGATCCCATGTGGGGTCCCTCATATAGATGGCAGGCCCACCAATGTGCCAAATATATGAAACCCAACAACTCATGCTACCTCATGTTGTGAACACTGACAGCTGGTATCAGCACTGGTTGTGTCAACAAGGGGGTCCACATCAGCTCAGCTTGCATCATAGTGTGAACAAGGGGCCTTTATCACATCATATATCAACTTGGGGCATATACAAGGGTTGTAGAGATGGCATTGTTGTGCAGATACATGCATGATACTGGACAGCAGAGACAATTCAAATGTGCAATATCAACTGACCTTTGATAGTTTTGATTTCCTTTCTGATGCTTGAGAATACATTGGTTCCCAGACAGTGCCATAATGAGAATGCCAATTTGGCATATTGACCATCCATACCAATGATCTCAGAATTTCACTCCAACTACCTGCCCCTTGTCTGGCATACAATGACCTCATTGCAAAGTCCCAATAGCCTGCCAGGTAATTTGAAAATGGATCTGATGGAGTCTGTCTCTGCATACATGACATCCAGGTTGTGTGAAGAGGTCATGGGCAGCCCATGCGCCCTCCTGCACATATTGATTCTGTTGCAGATAGCTTGTGGAGTGGACCACATTTTACCCATCATAGTCCAAGCATATTGCGAATACAGTAAGTGATGCAATCAATGAAATTGGAAAGGCTAAGACTGTCACAGTTGTTGTTGAGGAAATGTGGGATGTGAAAGCCAGTGCAGACTGTTTGACTTATGTACATGGAAATCACCCATCCAGCAGCAGTGATTGATAAAGTGGGAAACATCCTCCTGTGGTATCTCCCAAATGCCTTCAGCCAAGCTTATCAAGTTGTACAATTGAATTTGTCATTCCATACTGTGCTAATGTTCAGATCAGGCTGAGCTTTGGAATTCATTGGGAATGCTCAGTATCCTGCTTGCATGGAGTTTGAGGTCCAATGGGCCAGGCAGATGGTGGCATGATTCAAACCACTTTCACCAAGCCACAGATCTTAAAGGCACCATCAATCTCTCACTGGCATGGTTTCAGCAAGGACAGATATGCAGGTTGTCTTGCCAGTCTGGAACTCCATCTACAGTTCCATGTCATTGATGGTAAATCAGGCTTCTCCTGCCAATAAAGATATGAATGGCCAAAGGGTATGGTTAGACACATTGCTGACCATCAGCAACTATGCTCCACTCAACTTTGTTGTCCCAGAGCTTGGAATGTGGCTATGATACAATTCAGGCACTGTGATTGCACTGTCAGGAGCAGCTTTGGTTCACCAGGTTGATGGTGTAGACAGCAACCAGGCATGCCTTGCATATTACATGTGAGAGAACATGCATCAGTATGTGCACATCCCACTATGTGGTGGGCCACATATATTGGATATAGCGATGGATCTGCAGGCTGTTCCCACATAAATGCATACAAGAATTAATTGATTGTGTAGAGCGATCTCAGACAAATGTATATGCCCTCTTGTAAATCCAATGGGTGGCCAGTGAAAATACACACTAATTTACATTGGTACATATGATGCATGTGTGGGGTGTGTGATACCATTGGAGCAGTCAGACTGGACTCCTCTGATGTGAACTGAGCTTGTCATGTTTATGTATGTAACTCTACATGCACATGTCCATGTCTGTCTGACTAAGCACACTGTGGCTGTATCCTCGTCCCCTGTCCCTGGGCCTCCCTATGCCATGTGCCCCCTTCAAAAAATGATGACATCCTCATCATCTACACATGTTGCTGCCCCTGTCAACCCTCTCCCTCCAGGATGCCTCACCTATTCCCCCTCCACTAGGGTGTTCCCTTCCTCTGGGGGATCCTCACCATCCTCACCTATCCCATTCTGTTCATCATTGCCACTGTTTCCCTCCTCTTCCAGAGCCTCCTCTCTCTCACCTCTCACTTCCCCTCTGCTCCTGTCTCCCTTCCTGTTCTTTTGTAGTTGCTGTATGTAGTGTTGTTGGTTGCTATGCAACCATGTGCCCTCTCTTGGCTTGAATGTGCATAAGTGTCATGCACTAAATTCACCCTTGAGTGGTGTGATGTCAAGTTGTGGCCCCATGTTGGCACACTGTCTGACCAGATAGGAAGAGGACTGCTACACTCCTGGTCATTGTCAACAGGCATGCACTCAGTATTAGTGTCCCATGGCATTTCTTGCCCATTATCAGTGTCCCATCCACCCCATTCACCAGGACCCCATGCATTGACCTCAGCCACAGCATCAGTATTGTCCCAGCTACCCCATCCAGTTGCCATCAATCCTTGCTCTAGCTGTGGGGTAATGTCCATGTCAAGATTGTCCTCGACTGCTTCCTTCAGGGAAATTTCCATTTTTGGTAGCAATGTGATGTCTTGCCATTCTCCTGTTGCTGTGGAGAAGTCACTTATGATACCACATGCATTCTGCAAATGAAAATTGCCCTACATTGCATCTTGATACAGTGTTTGGGTGTGTACAGGGGAGATGAAGAAGTAATACAGTATGGGGCAAGCATGTACTCAATGATCATGCAGTGCACTGGGACTGAGACACAAGTACAACAAAGGAAATGATGAGCTGAGCTGAGATGTGATGGGTAAAAGAAAGATATCAATGTGATCATGAAGGGTGGCCTAAGCAGTGGGATTGGAAGGTGTTGAGTCAGAGCTGCCACCACTCTTCATGAGCTCTGTGAGCTGAATTTTGAGTCGAAGGGTTTTGGCCTCCTTTGTGAAGGCATTTTCTTCAGCATTCTTCTGCTGGATATCAAGCTTCCAGAGCTCCTGCTCCCTTTGATGCTTATCCTCCATATCTTTCCACTGCATCTTGAGCTGCTCCTTCTTCAACTCAAGCTCCCGATCCTTCAGCATATATTGCATTTTCACAAGGTACCATGCAATCTTACCAGAAGATGAGGATGCTAGCATTGACTTGGCCTCTTGACTCAAGTCAGTGACCTGGCTTTGAAGTTGAGACTTGTTGCAAGTGACTGGGAGAGAACTTGCCTCCATTGATGTTGTCTTGGATGACGAGGACCATGGGATCCTTGTGACAGCCTTCCCCTTGCCAGAAGAGCTAGATGATGATGACACAGAGGAAATAACACTTCCAGTGGAAGTGGGGGGATGAAGGTATGGTGACTGGCAGAATGCAGAGTGATTATCCAAGGAGGGTGTGCAAGACTTGTGAGGGAGGGAGAATTGAGACTGCACTTCTGGAGTCAATGGCTGAAGATATGACTGCTGATCCATTAGCAACAATCCATTAGTGATGTCTCAATAGAAATGTACCTGATCACTGTGAATTGACACTGAGTCCATGTTAACATCCTGCTCTTCCTCTCCAAAGCCAGGGTCTGTGCCTTCCAGATCAAAGATACCATTGCCAAATTCATCCCCCTCATTTGTGACTAGATCACCAACATGAGACATCCTCTTGTTGACTTCACCATCCTCCAGATCTTGATTGCTGCACATTTCCTCAGTTCCAGTATTTGAAGGGGTACCTTCATCTCCTGGAGCAGCAGGTGACCCCACTCCCAAGTCTGAAGTCTTCAGCATACCAGATGATTTATTTTGGACAATGGCTAAAAAATCTTCAGCACAATTTTTGTCTGGCTCAGAATTAATTGGGTCAGAGTTGAAGGAGGGGTTGCCCTGCCAGATGGAATGCAGATTGTTGTACCAGGGTAAGGTGTTGAGAATAGCTTCTGTAATCATACACATCAGTGACTGTAACTATTGCACAGAGGAATGGGAGAGGAATAGAGCAATGGCAGAACACTTGCCTTTTAATATTTAGATGGGGTGTTTGTAGCAGTAAGCTTGAGGCTCAGTGTGTAGAAGATAGAACAGTGGATTGTTTGATGTGGACTGGGGAGAAACCCCCAAGTGTATATATGGGTACTATATGCACAGACTAGGTAACATATAAGGAAAGTACCTACTAAGTATAGTAAAGAACTGCATGGAAGCTCATAGAATATGATGTCATCTATGATGATAGTATGACATCATTGTGGAGCTAACATGTAATATATCTTGTGATCAGTCATGTGACACAGTCTAGAACCAGAATCAATTCCAACACTCCCCCTTTCTCTAAAATGGGAGAATAACAAGTCCCATTGATGAGTGATTTGATTTGAACTTCTGCCAGGTAAGAGATTTGGTAAGACCATATGCTTTCTGATCATCAGTTTGAATATACTCTATTGCAAAAAGATCATCCTGAACACATTTGTGAACAAAGTGCCACTGGACATCAATATGTTTTGAATGACCATCTGAAACAGGATTCTCAGCTATAAAGTGAGCACCCATATCATTGCAATAAAGAATGGTCTTATCCATGTTGAATGACAATTCTTCAAATAGCATATGAAGCCATTTGATCTGTCTGGCAGCATCACATAAAGCCATATATTTGGTTTCAGTAGAGGATAATGCAACTGTCTTCTGTTTGTGAGACCTCCAGGAAACAAGAGAAGTTCCAAGGAACATTGCATAGCCAGTGGTTGAATGATGAGTATCTTTGTTGGCAGCCCAATCTGAATTAGCAAAATCATAAATTCATGACTCAAGTCCAGAATAATATAGTGCTAATTTTAGAGTAGAAGCAACATAGTAAACTATGTGCAGTGCTTTGTTTTTATGATCCTCAGTGGGATTAGCCATGTATTGGCTCATTTGTATCACCACAAAAGCGATGTCTGGACAAGTTCCCAGAGCCATATAAAGTAATGACCCAATGCTGGGTTGATATTGGTAACAAATTTGTGAGGTAGCCTGATAGTCTGTTGGTGCCTTTTCTGGTTGATATCCTGATGGTAATGGAGTGTGAACATTGCATGCAGTCTCCATATTAAAGTGTTTAATAACCTTTTTGACATAAGGAGTTTGATTGAGATAGACTTCTTTCTTCAATCAATTTTGGTGAATTTGAATTCCTAAATATTCTTTTACTTCTCCTAAGTCATGGGATTCCCATTTCTTCATAAACTTGTCTTTCTTGGCTTTGAGTAGACATTTGTCTGATCTGAGGAAAAGTCCATCATCTACACAGACAAGGAAAATGATTTTGCCAGCTTTGGATTTATAAATATAGATCCCAGCATCCACTTTTGAGTGAACATAACCCATGCATAATAGTGATGTGTGTAGGGCTTTGTTCCAGGCCAACACAGCTTGCTTTAAGCCATATAAGGCTCTAAGCAACTGATAGACCTTGTGTTCTTGACCCTTCACTTTGAAACCTTCTGGTTGTTCCATGTATATTTCTTCATCAAGATTGCCATATAGGATAGCAGTTTTAACATCCAGGGCTTCCATTTCCCAATTCTTCTGAGCAGCAAAGGCTAAAAGGATTCACACAGTCTCAAAGTGAGCCACTGGAGAGAAGGTGTCTTCAAAGTTGGTACTGAATTCTTGTGTACAGCCTTTTGCCACAAGACATGCTTTATAATGACCATCACTTTTGATAGCAAAAACCCATCAACATTTTACAGGTTTCCAATCAGGTTTTGGATCCACCAAAGTCCATACTTGTCTTTCTTCAATAGACTTGATTTTGTCCTTCATGGCATTGAACCATTTCCTTTGCAGGTCAGGAGATAACTTTAGAACATCTTTAAAGTGTTCTGGTGACTCTTTGACATGAGCAGCCAAGAGAATTTTGATGGTATTTAGTTGTGAATGAATTTGCTCCATAGGAGAATCAGGGAGAGGAGTAAGTGGAGATGGTGGTGTCTGAGATGGGTGTTGAGTCCATTCTCGAGGTACCTGAGGAGGTACAGGATGAAGAGGTGACAGAAGTCATCTTTCCTCTTGTTGTCTCCTCATGTTTTCCATTCTCCTTTGATTCATTTCTTGAACCTGTTCATCAACTCTTCGAAAATGTTCTTGTAATTCATCCTGACATCTTTGAATATCCCTTTCAACATCCACTGGATTTCTCTTTTCTCCATATATGTTACCAGGTTTGGTAGAGGGATAATTTGCCTTCTAGGATGTGGTTCTCTGTCTTCTGCTTCTTCAGGATGAGATCTCCAAAGATTAAATCAATCTGTGGGAATACTATAAGGTTGATGGGGATGATGGGGATGACAGGGGTCAACTGGTGGTATAGCAACAGGTGCTCTTTGTGGAGCTGATCTACAATGCTGGTCTGCAGCTTCCTGTTGTGGGTTTGGATTATGTGGTTTGGGACTTTGGGGTCTGGACTGATGAGGTCCATTATTGAGCTGATCAGGCTCAGATAAGTCTGGTAGGCTTAATAACTCTGATTCAGTTGAGGAAGATTGGTTGTTGTCAGAACCAGGGTCAAAGGTTTCAGATTTTTGAGGTTTCGAGCAGAAAGGGAAAGAGTCTTCTATGAATTTTGCAGTATGAAAAATAATGATCTTCTGACTATGAAGGAAGCAATATCCTTTGGTACTTGGTTCATAACCTAGAAAAACCATTTTGACTGCATGTGGTTCCAGTTTATCTTTTCATTATTCTTTTGGAACCCATACATATGCTTTGCAACCAAATGTGTGGAAATATGAAATGTCTGGAATCTTGCCAAGAAACAACTTTGCAGGAGTTTTGTATAGTACCCTCTTGAGAGGGGTCCTGTTGTACACATGCAGTGCACAATCAAAAGCAAAATTCCAATATTGCTTCAGTACACAGGATTGATGCCTAATAGCACCAGATTTTTCCAGAATAGTTCAATTGAACCATTCTGCTTGACTATTTTGTTGAGGATGATCAGCTATTGATAACTGATGGGTGACTCCATGAGAAGTGAGGAGTAATTTGAAAGTATTTCCCATAAACTCTCCCCCTTGATCCAAATGGAGCAAGACTAGGTGATGACCAGTCAAATTTTGAGTAGAAACCAGCCAGTTAGAAAAGGCTGAGTAAGTGTCAGATTTGTTCTGCAGGTAAAGGCAGAAACTGAAGGAAGAGTAATCATCCAAGAGTGTAAGAATATATTTTGACCAGAAGTATGACTCAACTGGTAATTCAAGAAGGTTGGCATGAATGAGTTCTAAGGGTTTAATAGCCCTTTTCCAGGAAGGTTTAAATGACTCTGAAGCCATTTTGCCTTGTGCACATCCTTTACAGGGAGGCACATCATTTGATAATGACAATTTCAGAAGACCCAACTGGTGTAAATGAGGTAGTATTGTTGATGCCAGGTGTCCCATGCAATTATGCCACAGAGAAGTAGGTGATAATGCTTTAATCAGAGGGCAAAGGACCATAAAAGCATTGGAAGAGTGAATAGGCACTCCAATAAACCAATGTAATGGTGAAGTGGG